TTTAAACCCTCTCGAGTGACTGAAGTGGATGAGTGTTTGACTTTTGGCAATGAGACTTTCTATGGCATTCCCAACGAAGGTACTGATAGACCACACCAGACTCACTTTCTGTCGCTCAGGAAGCACAATGACCGACCGTTGTAGCAGTCTTCAGACACAGATTGCCCTAGCCCACAAACTTCTAACGACGGTAGCGACAACTCAAACGTAGATGTTTTCACCGAATTTTCAATGCTCCATATGTCCTCATCGGGAAATTCGAAATATCGCTCCGCACCCCTCTCTTCAGAAAGACAAATTATGCGTAGGATGCATCCAGGGGTGATCAACCAAATCTGTTCAAGGCTTTAGGCCTAAAACGTAAAAGATGACTGGTTGAGCTTGATCTATATCCTCTGAAATATGGAAGGCTTTACGGGGACTTGTTAATGGTTCAAAGGATCTTGAACAGTATTTTACACTCACTCTGTCACCTGTTTGGCCCTATTTGTGGCACGAATCTTACAGAATATAGACAGAAACTAACCGTAGAACGTATCAAGCAAGACACAAGATTCAGATTTGTTGCTTGAGGATAGTAGGCTAGCAGCCTATATTAATCCCTCTCCAGTAGATTTGTGTGCTTGTCTAATCCTTTTTTGAACGAGTCACTTGATGACACAGACACCATTATTTCTGGGAGTCGGTTCCAGGCGACAATTACTCGACGCGAGAACCAGTATTCTGCGGAGGCTGTTTTCTTTCTTTGCTTTTGTATCCTCCTACTAAGTCATCTGGGGTGTTCCGACCTAGTGGGAAGGAAAAGAGAATGTAGATCAGGTCAGAAATCATTTCTTAGAATCCTGTGTAGCATGATTGGGTCTCCCTTCTGTCTACGATGGGACAAGGTGAAGAGGTCCAGCTTCTTAAGTCGGTCTTTATAGGTGAGGCCGGCCATTACAGGATCATACGAGTGCCTGCCCTCTGAACTCCTTCTAGAAGGTCTGCGTCACCTTTCAGGCAAAAATTAGCCGCCTGTGTACAGTCTTCCAATTTAGACTTAATTAGGGATGTGTAGAAGATGGTGACTATGTCACCATTTATGTTCGTAGGCGTTTTATGTAATGCCCACGGAGTCCTAATACTCCAGGCTGCTACCAATCCATAGTGAGCCATGGTTTTCAAGTCATAACTCACCTCGACTCCTAGGTCATTTTGGGTCAACACTGACGGTACAGAAGTCCCATCAATATCGCAGGTGTTTCTGTGTGCGCCCCAAGTGCATGCTCACACATTTACCCGCATTGATAGGCATCAACCACTCTTCTGACCAGATAAACAAACTTTTCAGGTCTGCCCGGAGCACACGTATATCCTCATCGTCCCTAATTTCCCGTCAGATTTTCAACTCATCAGCGTAGAGAACCGTAGGGGATTTCGTGATATTTGGCAGCTCATTCGCGCATAGGAGAAACAGTAGGAGGCCTTGTGGCACTCCACTCACTACCTACTTCCGAGTGGAAAGTTGAGAATTGACCCTAACTCTTTGTCTCCGACCAACAAGTAAGTCTCTTATCCATGCGAGCAGACATCCAGTGATTCAAAGGCTTCCCAGTTTTCTGAGCAACCTGGAATGAGATACGTTGTTGAATGCCCTACTGAAGCCAATGAAAATGACATCTACAGGTATCCTATCATCTTCAGACTTAACTGAACTTTCTGTAACTGTAAGGAGGTTCGTCAAGCAGGAGAAATTTCTACGAAAACCATGCTGTGAACGAGGCAATAGTGTTGCTCTCTAGGTGGACTGTAATGGCTTTCTTGATTACTCTTTCTAGGATTTTCACTACAGTACTAGCCAAACTTACCAGTCTGTTATTTGATGGGAGCTGCCTAGAACCTGCCTTATGGATAGGTGTTACTATGGCATCCTCCCAGTCATATGGAGTGTACCTTCACTGAGAGAGTCTGAATATAGTAGTCAATGGGCCGGCCACATAGACTACAAGCTCTCTAACCAGCCTTGAGTGCAGCTCACCCGGTTTCGCTGGTTTTTCTACATCAATAATAATTAACGTCCGGAATACATCATTACGTTTGACATTCACGGAGTTCATTCTGTTGGATATCAATGCTTCTACTGTTGGATAATTGTCCAGGGAAGATTTCTGTGTGAAGACCTGGGTAAAATATTCAGCCATGGCTTCTGCTTTTTCCCTATCGTCCTAAATCAGACGGCCATTTTCGGTCCCATTGATTTGAGCTGTTATACCACGACACATCTTATTTCCGTGGTTCATATATGAAAATAACCCCTTCGGATGTTGCAATGCAGCCTGGGCAAAGCATGTTTCAAAGCGTGTTCGAGACGGCGGATAGGAGCGATACATTTATTACGAGCTTCTTTGTAATGCTTCACCACTCCGCGTGTACCGAGGTGGGTAGCAAGACTCCAACACTTTTTCTTACATCGTAGCAAGATTCAAATTTTGTGGTTCACCCACGGAGGACAGTGTTTCCGTCCCCTCGAGACAGTCCACGGAATATACCGTTCGGTCACTCGTGCATATAACTGTTTGAAGGAGCACCATGCACCTTGAACTGAGGCCCCTGGATTGACTGTCTAGTCATCCGAAGGGGCTGCCAGGTTAGTGGCTTCCATAATCGCTTTACATATGTTGGGTCTAGCTCGGGCGTCGGCCTGGTACGAGACGTCTGCTGTGGATCTGAAGATGATAACAGCGTGATCACTTTTGCCAACAGGTGCTAGGCGCCGGATGCGGCACGCATCATCTGCGTGTGAGGATACTGATTCCAGAACTGCGGGGCATGCTGATTATCATATATGGTTGGCGTTCAAACGTGCTGTATGAGGGCTAAGGAGTTTGATGTTTCCAGTAACCGGTGTTCAAACGAATTTCGTGGTACTTTTGTTGTTAGTCTAGCCCAGTCAACTGATGGTGCGCTGAAGTCTCCTACAACTAGACATCAGCATGTACCTGTCTAGAGAGTCAGCTTATTCGGGAGAAAGTCTGCTGCCTCACATTCAGAGCTTCGATAAACTACTATTACGTTAATATCTCGCCTTTCATATTTTAGTCGGCAGCGCAGCATTTCACATGTCCCACTTTCATGTGCAACTTTTTCTACGGCTTTTACAGTAAAAGATGACACCACCACCTTTGCGTGCTAATCTGTCACTTGCAAAAGGGATGAATCCTCGTAAGCGTGTTTCACAGTCATTGATCCAAGAAGAGAACCAAGTTTCTGAGATCGCAATAATGTCAAGGCTTTCGTCACTTATCACACTACTAAGCTCGGTCCACCTGCTTAAAAGGTTACGCGCATTTGTGTACAAGACAATGAAACTACTTAAATGAGTTTCCGTCCTACCCATGGAGGCCTCGGTATAATTTGTTGCCGAAACCTCACCACATGAAAACCCACTGCTTCCAGATTTTGCTCTCCAGCTGCCAATCTAGACTTTAGTTCTGCCTCTCGTTTTGATTCGATCAGCAACAGCCAGATCCTTTCGCACGAACACTCCGGATCCTCGAAGCCCGTGAGCATTCTTCGGAATCCAATTCTTCTCATCTGCTGACTTTACCACGACTTCAGGTGGCCGAAGCTTATTTTCAGTAATGATTGTTTCCTGTTTTCCTACCCTATATATCTTGAGCAGGGTGACTCCTGTCATGTTTTCTGGTAAAGCTGGTTTATCGAACTTTCCACCTTGCCAAGGTCATGTTGGAGACAATTACGTGGTTCTGGGTCTCTACTTTCCTCCGCTCTATGGAAAATTACGGACCTGTCAAGGAGCTCACCTTTGTCTTTGCTATATTGAGTGATGACAGCTGGTTCGGTTGACGTTATTGACTTCTTAGCATACGGTTTGGGCTTAGTTACTTGACATTCTTCAGAGCCGGGTATGCAAGGTTCACTAACGCCTAGTCCAGTGGCCCTGACACAGGGAGTCTCAGAACGGACTTGCATCCCATTCTGTGTGATTTTCGTCAATGATCGGGCCACCGAACTAGGTATGACCTGCAGCCTGTGTGGTTCTGTCGTCGGAATTGACGGCGCTTCACGGCTGTTTCTTTCACCTGAAGTAGACCTAGTCCAACGGCCAGCAGTTTTCAGACTGGGTCTGCGAGCCCTGGGGATCCGAGATCCAGAGGATACTCTCTTCACCCTGCTTGGTGTAGTTTCTCCAAGTCGCTGTCAGCAAACCCAGTAGGTAATCTACGTGCCCGGCCCACGGCTAGCCGTGGGACGTTCTTAAAGTTTTGCACAGCGATCCGTGTCGATGGATCCCGCGTCGTTATCACTGTCACAGTTATCGGCTTTGAATTTCGACGACAGTTTCTAAATTATCGTATTCAGAAGTGCTTTTGCTTCTTCTATCAGAGTGCGAATATCCGAGCAGCACAATGTACAAAGCCAGACACTTCCTGGGTTGCTGTACCCATTGTATGCTGAGGGTGTGAGGCTTGTATAGTTATCGTGAAACCAACTCTTACATTCGCTACACTGTATACCAGAGGTCACTGTAAAGTGGCACCCAGCCCTACCATAAGCATTTTTACGACACTTTTAGCTCACCATGAAGCAGAAATTGAATAATATTCCGATCAGAGCAAAAATACAACAGCCTCTGATGTGCCAACACAAAGAATGACAAGAATCTAGCTGAATGGTAAAACTCACACCCCTTTTCAAACAGCGCGCTTGACTTGTTAAACTCTGGAACACTCTTCTACAATGGTGATCCCGGCTACTTCGTCTGAGTCTTTTAAACGCCGGCTTCACGCTTACTGGAGATGTGGGTGGGACCTGCTCACAATCAACTGAAGTTTCAATTCTAAACAGCCATGTTTTACACTTTCTGTCATTGCTCACAGGTCAACAGCCCCAAAAACTAATGATCCACGGATTCCTCACGCAAAAGCCAGTAGGGCGAAAGCTTCTTCTATTCTGCAAACAATCACTTCAGACATTTAAAACCGATTTGTTTTAATGCTCCGGGGTCGTCCTATTTAGCGGGCAAGAATTATGAGCGAGTATGTTCTGACGGTGACCATGAAGTTCAGGCAGATGAGTTTGGTGACGAAAATGCTAAAGAGGATGTTAGTGTAACGGATGAGATGCACTTCGACGCTGTAAGGGAAAAGAATCATGTTTATCGCTTTCTAGGAGTTGGAGGCTATTAAAGAACGCTTTAAAGAAATAGAAGCTGATGCTAATAAGTTGCATGACTTGCGTCGCGTTATCGACAGGTCACCGGTTTCAAGTAGGTTTATATTTAGATACTAAATTTGTGAGAGCGTTGTCGCATTTCCAATCAAGCGTAGGATTAAATGCCTATCTGGTTAGTTAAGGGATCTCAACTGTATGTCAAGTGCCTTTAGGCTAACTTTGGTGAACCGGTTTCAGAGCGTTTAAATGAACTGGCACGAAGGCACACCAAACTCCGTTTATCGGTGATTGACGACGTGTTGACCCAAATTCACAATCATTGTCAATACCATTGTTGTATTTCGCTCCCATCGTTTTCGCACCTAGGTTTAGCCTAATTCCGCGGTTGTCACCTCCAAACAGCTTTATTCTTAGTCTGTATTTTTGTAGTTCTAAACGAAATAATAGAAGGGAAAATTTCTTAATACCACCGTCGCTTATATGCAAGTACCAATATAGACTGTCGTATAAGAACTACTGCCATCTGATTTTGGTCTTTCTTCTGAGAGTGATACCGCTATTTTAAATTGTGATACTTTCCAACAACAAACTGTTCAACCTTATGAAAACTGATTAGGCCCAATTGCCTCATCGTTTTATGGCATAATAGTTTCTCTAGACTGTTCAGTGTAGTTCAGAAATTTTGAGAAATGAACAACCTGTTGACGACTGTCAACACTAAAAGCTTAGCATTCCAATTTCACTTGCTTTTAGGTGGGTCAGCATTCCTAAGTTTACCTGTCCATGTAAACAAGACTATCCAGTTCACACTTTATTAAATTCGAAATCCCAGTTGAGGTTGCACAAATCTCGAGTGCAATAAACACGATGCATTACAAAGCTTCCCGGGAAGATCTGAACACCTGGAAGCGAGAATTGCGAATTAACTACTGTATAGAGATTGCTTGGATTCATTGTTGATTAATGTAAAGGTTTGCCTTGTGAATAATCAGGTAATGCAGTCCAATCTGGCACACATACAAAAAACGTCAAACCTAACCTAGAAGTTCGCCACTTCTATTTGTCACAATCTTGAATAGTACTATTATTAAGCCATTGGGTTCCTAATGGAACATAGGGCTTCAGTAGCACGTCTCCAGTGAACTCTGTTCTCTGAAATCTTTTGAACCTAGCTCCATGACAGCCCAGAAGCTCTCATTTCCTCCTCGCACGATCTCCTCCATGTCACCCTCGGATGACCAACTCGTCGCCTCCCATGGGGATTCCACTCGAGCAACTGGCCTGACGCGTGATGTCCCCAGTTGGCTTTCTCGGTGCATTCCCAATCCATCTCCACTTCCTTCTACATATTTGTTGGGTGATAGGTTCTTGGTTGGTTCGTTCCCAGAGTTCCTTGTTGCTTATTCTTTCTGGCCATCTGATCTTCAGTATCGAGTGAGCGTAAGCAGTTGTTGATGAATGTCTGTAGTTTATTGGAAATCCCTTTCGTAACGTGCCAAGTCTCAGAACCATCACATTGAAGCAGTGACTTGACATTGGTGTTGAAAATCCGGATCTTGTTCACACTTTGTGCTGAGTGCAGAAGATCTCCACACTGGTTTCAGGCTAATAAACGCCTGTCTTGCTTTTCCGATTCTGACTGGCTTTGACATCCTCGTCTGTGCCTGTGCTGCCTGTAGTTGAAACAGTGCTTTCTAGATAGGTGAAGGAGGTTACTTCCTTTAAGTTTCTCCCGTTGATGGTGACTGGAGTTTGTTGTTGTTGGAGTTGTTGGTGCGATATCTTCATCACCTCCGTCTTCTCTATATTCACCTGAAGTCCCGTCTTCGCTGCCCTGCCTCTTCTGCCAACTTGTTAGTTTTTGCCTGTAGATCTTCAAGTTTGTGTGACATCAGACACAAGTCATCGTTGGCGAAATCCAGATCTTCTAGGTTCTTTTCCACAGTCCAGCCAGCGTATGCCCCTCTTCTCGCTCCCCACTGTTTGCTTCATGATCCAGTCGACTACAATTAGGAATATCATGGGTGATAGTAGACAACCTTGTTTCACTCCTGTCTTCACTTCAAAAGCATCATTGAGTAGTTTTCGCATTATGAATTACTTGGCTGGTATGTGGCATCTTCATATAGTTGTTGAATGAGGCTGATAAAGGTTTGCGGTACTCCGTAGTAATGAAGCTGTTTCCAAATTACCTCTCGGTCGAAGGCCTTCTCAAAGTCGATAAAGTTGAGGTGTAGAGTTGACTGCCATTCTATACTCTGTTCTACGATGATGCGTAGTGTAGCGTTGCAATTTGGTCCTCACATGATTTGTACTTCCTGAATCCAGTGCATCCTTTAGCCTCTCCAGGATGATGCGGCTTAATATTTTGCTTGCTTTGGGTGGGTGGACAGGAGAGTGATTCCGCGCCAGTTCTTGCCAACACTGAGGTCTCCCTTCTTCGGCAGTTTGACAAGGTAACCCTTCTTCCAATCACTAGCCAGGTACCTTCTCTTCCTTCCACACCTTCTGCAATAGTGGTGTGGTGTGAGCATGTCGGCTGTTGTCTCTGCGTCTGTTTTCAGTGCTTCTGGCGGTATTCCATCTGGTCCTGCTGCTTTCCTACATTTCAGTAGCTTTATGGCGTTCAGGACTTCCACTTTTGTTGGAGGATTTATGTTCACTTGTAGTTCTGTGGCTGGGCTGTAGGTGGTATTTGTGGACGAAGTGCAGGTGGTGGTGGTGGTGGTCGATTCAAGAGCTTCTTGAAGTGGTCGGCCCATTGTTTCCTTTGTTTCTCTTCTTTCGTAATTAGATTTCCTTCATCATCTTTTATTGGTTTCGTCTGCGTTGATCTCTTCCCATCCCAGATAGTAACCTGGTTGTTTGACATAGTGTTGTCAGGTCTCTCTTACCTGCAGCCTGTTCTGCTTCACTTACCAGTGTTTCGTAGAAGTGTCTTTTGTCTTTGCGTGCACTCTTCTTCACTTCTTTGTCCAGTGTTTTAAACATTGTGCTCAGTTCCTCTTGTCGTTGAGCATCCATGCACTGGTTTATCTTCTGCTTCACCATCCTCCTCTCACTCCTCTATCAGCTTCCATGTGTCCATTGAGATCCATTCTTCTTCCTGTCTTCTTTCTTCTTCCTTCCTAATACGGCTGTGCAGGTTTCTTTCCATATCTCTTTCAAAGACTTCCAGTGTTCTTCCACACAGGTTTCTTCAGGAATGTTCCTCGATATCTCCCATTTTGTCTTGATGGCTGGCTGCTGTGAAGGATGTCCTTAGTAGTTTCATCCTTCAGTTTCCGAGTGTTGTACTTGAACTGTGGTCTATCACCAGCTTCCTTGAAGGCTTTTAACCTGATTTGGAAGGTGGGTTCCTTGCACTAGATAGTGAGTGGTGTGAACCTACATCTGCTCCTCTTCTTGACCTTGTGTCAAGTAGGCTGACTGCGTCTCCATTTTCTTGAGATTGAGATGAAGTTGATTTGATTTTTAATGTGTCCTGGTGTCTGGTGAAATTGAATCCATGTCGCTTTGTGGATATCCTTGTGCTTGAACACACTGCCTGACTCCAATCACCAAATCGTTGAATGCACAGAATTCTGCAAACAATTCTCCATTGTCGTTCATCACCTCACTGAGCGCTTCTCGACCTATGGTTAGTTCTCTTCCTATGTTGTCCCCTCCCAGTTTGGCATTCATGTCAGCCTGCCCATTAGAATGAGTTTTGATATCGCCAACTGGAGTGGTTTCTTGTCCAGTGTTGATTGGAGTTGTCTGTAGAATTCCTCCTTTTTCTCTTGCTCTGCATTTGTAGGTGCATAGCGTAGCATTGTATGATTGTGACCTTCCTTCCTTTTGAGTTGAACCTTGCTGTCATGATTTCGATCGTTGAGGAGATTGGTTCCCACTGGATGAGAGAGAGCCTTCGATGCTCTTCAAGGGGACATCATGATAGCCACTCGGAAACTCAGTGTGCTGTGCTTGTGGTTGTCGTCTGGGTGACAATATCGGAGTAGATTATTGATTCTCCAGTTGACAGTTTGGAGAGTCCACTCCCATTCCATCTGCTTTGGCAAATTCCAAGCACTTCAATGTGATACCTCTTCATCTCGTTTGCAATCTGGACTGCCTTGCTAGGTTCAAACATGGTGCGGACATTCCATCCATGTTCCCACGTTTACTTTCGCTTTCATCGAGGGAGAGAAGACACATCGGCCCGGTCAATTGGCTTCCCGAAGGCTTTCACCAACTGGCGTCATTTCGCCTCTCCGATTCCAGAGAGGAATAATTTTGTTATTATTTTTTATGTATCGTTTGTGCTTTGAAGTTTCTTTAACGGTTAGATTTGTTTTCTGGGGTAGGGTTGGTAGCCGTATGCCCAACCTTCCCTCTTTACCCGGGCTTAGGACCGGTTAGTAACTAGTGAAGTAGTTAACCAGGCGAGGTTTTTAATAGTATACGGCGAACGACTAGGTAGTGATATTAACGTAGGCGAAAGAAGCTGCTGCTCGGTAGTCCAAACACTTGATTTCCAACTCGGGTTGTGCTTGAACCTAGTTTCACCTACCGAGGCTTGACAGCCAGGCACTATCCTTTCTTACCAATAGCTGGCTCTTTGTTCAGTGCCTAAATGTGAAGGAAGTACTTGAGTGGATTTCATTTCGGTTTCCAAACGAAAGTGCATGGTTTTAACCTTGGAAATGAAGGTTAGTAAAATTAGTCTAGGATTAAATTAATTTGCTGTAGTGCAACAAATTGTAGGCAAAGTATCCAACTGTGTATCCTTGTTGTTTCGGGGACCGTAGCCGACCAGTCTACACCCTATACGTCTCGCAACAGCGATCAAAGACTTTGCGTGTTAGCACCACATCTTTGTCTGGCCACCCTTAGCCTTCTAGCTCAGTCGAACAACATCGCCTCCTGAAATTGGCAATAAGGTGGCATTCGCAACACGTGCCCGAGCCACCTAAGTAAATGGAGGTTCAAATCTTCGTCATTTGACCTCCCTACCTTGTATAATAGTTTTAGCTGAACTTTTCTATTTTCCTCACACGTTGATTTCCCCGTATATGAGCAGTACTGCAAAGAAAAATTTTTCTAGCATCCACATCAATAGACTTACTATTGCAACCAGAAGGGCTTGAAAGTAGTCAGTTTCCTGAATGGAAATGTATCTTTTACCATGAGTACTGCAGTGTGACTGTGAAGGTAGTATCAAGCAAGTTTATAATGCTTGTCAAAGATCTCTGCTTGAAACTCGCCTGGACGTGTAAGAGCTCATGGAGAGTTGCCATGACAATCGACAACAAGTTTCCGCCAAGAGTACCCAATGTTGTCGTTACAGACTTACTACTAGCCATAACCTTAGCTACTTCTGGCCTCGATCTGCTTCCTAGAGGTCATCTGGTTGGCTTGGAGTATGCAAACAATATTGTCCTGTTAGGTGAACACATTGACGAAACTTAGGATATTCTGAACACGTTTAGCAGAAGGCCGAGTGTCTAACACGCGTCTCCCTCCCGTCAAATGTAAGATGATACTCCACGACTAGTATGCTTCAAGTACTCCCAGTTTAATGGTAGGGAGGGAAGCGATGAAACGTCGATCACTTCATTTACTTAAAGAGTGGCATCAACCCATAAAGACTGGTTGCTGAGTTGGGATGCAGAAGGCCTGTTCATTATTTGCCAACTTACGTCATCTGTGGTGCCCACTGATGAGATACCTGGCTGTCCTTCAAAAGACGGGTATACTGCGCTGCATTTCTTGTTATGGGACTGAGACATGGTCGTTAAAAATATAAGACATGAAGCGTTGACAGGTTTTCGATCACAGATGTCTTTTTAGCCTTGCCCAAGTTTGGTGAAACATGTGAGCAATGTTGAAGTCAGGTGAAGGGTACTAAGCAAGGCAGACGATTGACGAAGTCGACTGAGATGACCTGGATATGTACTGCGCATACCGAGCCATTGCCTACCCCGGCGAGAGGAAGATGAGTTAAATTGGGTGAAAGTTCAGGGTAGTTCGACCAAGACGGTACCAGTTTGTGACATCACTGACTTGGTCTGAGCCATGTTGGGAAGTGTCGGCTGCCTGGCTGGAGTCACTAAGACAAAAGGAATCAGTGGTAGAGGACTTTTGATGAAATGTTTGGAAGTCAGTCACAATGGTACAGTTGTATTCAATCTTCAACGTTTTCTCAAGCTTACATGCTTCTACAAACCATTATCTTTGGAGTGATTAGTCTCTCACACAACCTTGTCTACGGTTTTTTCTATCCACCTGATATAATAAGCTGTTTTGTTCATCCGAAAGCATGTTCGTGCTAAGGAAAACTGCGTCACTAATCAGAATGCTTTTTTTACGCTGGTTTCAACGTCTTTCTTATTGTTATGGATCTGGTGTTTTTGATGAAAATACTAACAGTGATCTTTCATACAGCGGTTTCAAGATGTTTTTGTTGTGATTTTATAGGTTATTTCAGTGTAGTAGTGTACATTTTAATTTGTCGATCGATTTGGTTCAGTCACAAACCTTGTGATATAGACACAAATACTTTATCTTAAATCTGTCGCTTATAAACCTTTTTGACTGCCGGTTCCTCACGTGTAATCATGCTATCGGTTTCATTTCTCGTTTTGTTAATATATTCAAGCTTCTAAAATATTGAAAGTAAAGCCATATATAACATTTAAGTGACTGCAAGGCATTTACTAGGGTCGGCTAACTGATTATATTAACAGAAATAAACTTGCGGAAATCCTCTTTCTATGATTTCAAAAGAAAAGTTCCCTGAAGAGTGTGCACATCCCAAAATAAACCTCAGGTACATTAAATTATGCTAAGGAAGTTTGTCCATGTTAACGTACTATGTTCGATCTACGCAGATCAGCGTAATTTATGCCATGGAAAGTTGTCACCTAAAGTAGCGACAACCAGTGATTTCCTCCAGCCACGCACACTGCAACTATTTCTGTTTATCTTCCTTATAGACGTGAAAATGGGGGAAATGATAGATATATTTGATGTTTCAGAAATGGACTTAATCTACAAAGTTACCTAATCGACTGTGTTTACGCTGACGCCATATTCCTGCTAGACATTGAGTGGTCAGATCAAGGTGTGATACCAGTTCGTGAAGTAATTATAAGCCGTTTGCGAAATGACCACTCGACTGGTGACTTCAAGATAACACTGGTACTGATAAGTTAAACCGTGTTAGATTTCGTCGATACATCCACAACTAGGTCTGATACCCACCTAGTTACTTCGAGTTCTGAAATTTAGTGGTGTTGGATGAATATAAAATCTAGAATCTTTAACACTGTATTCTGTTGTCTTAACAATGAGAGTTGTTTCCTAGTAATGAAACTGGAACAATCAACTAGCGAGACCAGTTGGGGGATATCAAGCAAGAGCCACTACGTCAAACAGTCTTAACAATGATTTCGGACTATCCTCCACGAGTACATCTAATTTTGGTTTAAATAGACGAGCCACTCTTCATCGCTAAAGTTTACTTCTAGCCTTCTAAATCTATAAACAATTTGCATACCCTATGTCATCGTATCATTTAGGTGGAAAGTCAACAAGCGAAGAAAAATTGCAAATCAGTTAACCTTCATTTATTGTAGGTTCATGATGAATATTCGTTCTCAATGATAAGTTATTCCGAACATTGCTGTGATCACAGCCATTAGTTTTTCTCAACATATTACAGAACTTTTCATTGTTCAAATATGGATTGCAAACATATGCGTGGTAAATTGATCCATCTCGCAGTGCACAAATTTTTCGTAGCTATAATCAGTTGAACTGCTTCTTGAACTACTTCGTCCACCGTTGTAGTCGTCTTAATGAGTGGATTAGTTACTGATGTTTTTGTTTCCACGAATGATAGGCGTTTCCATTCGAGCTCACTTCATAATTTGAAACAACTGTTTACAACTCGATTAATTTTTCTAATTTTTGCTGTCCAGTATTGTGTACAATCATTGTATAAATTCTCTGTCAGTATTTTGAATGTGTCCGCCTTTCATTGTGTTCACAGCCCGCTGGTATGCATCTTTTTCAGATGAGCTTTTTGTGATATGACACTGACGCTTCTATACTGCTTCTAAAAGTTATTCGTTGTCTTGACCTCCGCTTTTAAGATGTCATGTTCCATTTATGTTCAATCAGTTTATCTGTGGAGGTATTCCTTATGACTTCAGCAAAACTCACCAACCCAAGTCTATCACTGGTAATTTTATTACTTCCAATAAGCTTTAGATTTAGGTAAGATAGGTGAGATAGTATCAACATAGTATCTGGCATATATATGTAACTGCTAAGTTCCGCAGCCCATATCACCACATCATAAATGAGCACAAACCAACTCGTGATAAGAGCCCACGCACTTGCTTCAAGAGAGAAGCACAGGTTGTTATATTAATACATCAAGATACGAAGCAAAAGGATGGAAGATAAAGTGATGTGATTTATGAGAAAAAAGCAACGAAAAAACAAGTAAGTTTATTCAATATGTGAGGCAGTAAGGCATGTAAACGAGTCCACTAAGACAAAATTGAGTTGGTCACTATTATGACTAAAACTTCGGCGCTGGGAATAATACTGTATCAATTATGTTGAATATACTTATCTGATATAACGTTAAGTCAATCACAAACAAATAGAGTCTAGGCGTTGACTTAGTCAAAATAATACAAACCACTTTTTCTTATAAGTACTCTGTTCTCATTACAATCTGTAAATGGTATAATCGACTACATTTGAATTTTACTGCTTTGCACTTCAGGTTGCAACGAATTTAGATGTCTAGGTTAGTGAAACGTTTGCATTTCGAGTTCATTATTTCAAAGTTTTCAACATCACCCCAAGTTTTCCTTTTAATTACAGAGTCGAATAACTCAAATTTATCGGACGATGACAAAACTGAAGTTGATCTACGCTCAGTCTACGTCGGAAATGTAAGTTAGAGGTATTTGCTCACTTAGGAACTAGGTTGACTATGGTTCTACGGCTGATGAACTTGAAGCGCACTTTCGTGGATGTGGGCCAATTAACCGTGTCACAATATTGTGCAATAAATTCACTGGCCATCCTAAAGGGTTTGCATACATTGAATTCGACACCCGTGACGCAGTGGAGGCTGCGATGGCTTTGGATGATTCGTCTTTCCGCAGCCGGCAGTTGAAAGTTCTACCTAAACGTACGAATGTCCCCGGTATGTCTATGACAAATCGCCCCCCTTTTATAAGGGGTCGTGCTCGTGGAAGAGGAATGTCTTTTGGTTTCCGTCCAGCTTATGCCGGTCGAATGCGATTCCCGCGATATCGGTAAGTATGCTAAACACTAACAGGATTTGTCTTTGTACTGTAAGTATCTAAGGCTTATCTTTTCTTCCATGATTTCAGGCGACGTGGTAGTTATTACTTTTCCCCTTATTAAACTGGTGGAACTAATGAAAAAAATAATAAAAGAAAAAAGAAATTGAGCGCAAAAGAAATGTTTGCAAGACGTCCCCGTATTCTGCTTTGTCACTCACTCCTTTTGTGGAACTAATAACTCTGTTGTCTGAATTTTAGGTATCGCATACGACTTACACTGTATGATGCCGCAAACATTTTGTTTCGAAATCTAGTGAGAATACAACATACGTGTTGGAGACGTTGTACACAAATGTGCGATGTAAATTGGTGCTATTTTGATATTCATACTATATGGCTTGTTTACCATTGTGTATGTTTACGAAATATTTTGTTGGCTATCTTATGTTTTTCTAATGTGTCATTTCAGATACTCATCAAATTTGTTTTGCTTGATAGTGGTTTCGATAGTTTTCCTGTGAAGTAGACGATAAAAACTGATGTGGTTACTCCAATAAGCTATAATACTTAGCACTACAGTGGGCTGAATAATGTTAAGTTACTCGTAGACTCAGCCATATGACCAACTAGTATGAACATATTGTATTATTTCTCTCTCATGAGTGTAAAGTTAAGATAGTATAGTAAAGCTTTCATACTTGAATATTTGCTTACTTGAGAGTGATTGTTAAAGATCACAAACAAATTATGCAGCTGAATGATTGAGTGTGTAATACCGAGGATAATCAAAATAATAAAGCAGGATAAGAAATACGTTAGCTTGGCGAAATGACAGTATAATTCGTTCTACAGTAGTCATTGTTAGAAGAGGTTTGGATAGTCAGGTAATATCATCGGACTTGTCAACTTCGGCATGATTGCATATAATCTATGAGTTGCACTCAAAAAGCCAGAAAAATCCATCTTGAGGAAAGCGTAATCGTACATGATGCTGAACCTCACGGGAGAGCTGATAAAATCGATAAAAGGATCTCAATTTAATGAAAAGAAGAGGAGACTAAAGAGTCACTCTAGAAGTCACCCTAGTAATTGATGAAAATACGAATAAGGATTCTCAGTTTCATGATTAAAAGTGATTGATTGTCTGACCAGCCTCCAGGCTAGTCTTCAGTAACGCGGAAGTCAGGGGTAGAGTTTAAGGGAGTAGACGTAATTCAGTTGACACAATTGTAAGCCTTCATCGACTAATATGGTTGAGACATGTGTTGCATCTGCTTCGTCACATAATGTTGAAAAAAGTAGGTTCAGACTGGAGAAACGCTCGAGGCGGCCAGACTAAAACATGGCATCAGTGGATGAAGTCTTTGACTTGATTTGTGCCATATGATGCCATGCAGACTCCATCCATCAAAATCAACAAAGTACGTCGGATTGCTGCGTAGCTATCCGAGTTGCCACCGCTCATACCAGTACATTAAGTAAAAAGGCAGTAAAGTGGAAGATGAAGAAAAGAGTTTTCAGTCAAAAGAAATATAAAGTACTAAAAAAGACGAAGGAAGAATGAGAAGCGTTAAGATGAGGACAATGTATGTGTATGTCCGATTGTCTATTCAGGGTCGCGTGTACTACACACCAACCCGGTCTGTTCTGTATGGCTGTGAAACATGGCTATTGAAAGTAGAAGACATGAGAAGGCCTCAAGTGTTTGACCACCGTTGCCTTTGTAGTATAAGCCGTATTCCGTGGTGTCACCACGTCAGTATTGCAAAAGGTTCAGGCGTGGAGTTTTAGCGAGATGTAAGTCAGTTGATACAGTTGTGAACCTTCCTCGACTAAGATGGTTGAAGCATGTGTCACGTATGCCTAGTTGCTGATTGCCTCACCACACGATGTTAGCCGAAGTAGGTTCAGGCTGGAAATAGGTCAGAGACGGCCAGACCAAAATATGACATCAACAAAAATAGTCTTTGACTGTTGTCTTGAGCCATGTTGGGCGATGCAGACTGGGTGGTTGGGGTCCGCGGGACAAGAGGAACCAGCGGTTGGAGACTAGATGATATGGCTCAAAGTGATGTCAGTGACGCAGGTGTATCCACACATTATCCTCATCTTAACGCTTCTCATTCTTCCTTTGTCTCTTTTAGTGCTTTATATTTCTTTTGACTGAATCCTCTTATCTTCATCTTCCACTTTACTGCCTTTTAACCTGATGTACTGATATGAGGTGTTGCAACTCGGACCGCTTCGCAGTAATGCCTGTTCGTTTGTTGATGATGATGATGACTTCGTCTGGTCCTGCTGCTCTTCCTCGTTTCGAGTTACCTACAGTTTTCTTGACTTCTGTTAGTGTTGAGGCGCCTGTTGTATTCAGGATCCGACTGAGTAGCGTGCATTGCAATGGTGGTTGAGGGCTAATCAAGCTGTTCCTCGAAGTGTTCTGCCCATCGTTCCAGTCAAGTGAATCACAAATCCGTCCTTCTCCGCTATAGCTTCAATAACTTTGTCCTTTTCTCCCCAGTCCTCATAATTAGTTGAAATAACTGTCTACTGTTACCAGACACCACTGCTTTTTCATGTATAGCCTTCACTGCCCATCACTGTTGACGGTGGTTGCGTAGACTTTCTCTCAATCTACTTTTAAGTTGCGCTCGCTCTTCATTGTACTCAGAACCTGCAAGGATGCGCTCACGTGCATCCATTAGTTCGGAAGAAGCTGCTGATATCCACTGGCCATTTTTAGCCACTATTTCAGATTCCGGTACTGTCTTTGCTTTCAGTATCGTAATGGCATACATTGTATGAAACCAACATCTAGCTGCGTACTCGCGCTTGCGACGCATGCAAATTCTTAATTATGCATGTCACTCATTTTGACATTGTAAATTCTAATCACTCATTAATCAACACTCGCAGCATATCAACACCGAAAATGAAATACAATAAGAACGAACTGAGAGTCGCTGCCGGCATAATTAATTCTTCAGCGCATTGCGCTTGCTTCGTTAACAAAGCATAGTCCAAGTGGTCTCTAACTGCTGTCTCGTTACCCCCTATTCATTCAGGTCCTGAGTGGAATGAACTTTGATGTGGCCCTTCCACCAGAAGAAATGAAAGGCTTTGGATTAGCTGATAGGAAGAAAGGTAAATGGTCTAGCCATATTAAGCTTCCCTTTGACAGGTTTCAATTGCCGATTGTCTCAGAAATAAGATGACTTTATTGTAACGGTAATGTAGCAACTAGTCTGCAGAACGAGGTGTCTGTAACTGTAGATTCCGAACTAGAATCACTGAATACGGCTATGAAGGTTGGCCATTGGAAATGGAGTACTAGTGGAGGCTTCAGATGTTCGACCACCATCGACTTTCCAGCATAGACAGTAGGTGTTGATATCACTTTGTCAGTGGTGCAGAAGTTCTATAGGGTTGTACATAGAAAAGACAAAACAACTCATAAGCCTGTGAAACTTCAACTCGAATAGCTGATACACAATGTCTTCTGTTTGCCCAATTACCGCCCCTAGCAAAATTCTAGCTGAAGTAGTGTGCAGATGAAATAAGGATGTAGGTGGTCAGATCGAAATGTAGTGTGAAATCTTTGACTATAGACGTATATGGCACCTAGGTAACTGTCGACTTACTGGCTGGTGCCACCATGAGACCTGAACCGGCAAATGAAGACTACCAGATCAGTATCAGCTGCGTCCACCTTATTTTCGTGTTGATCTTCATCAACTAATATAACATAGCGGTCCACTTCGAAATTAACGACATTCATTCCGATCTTCCTTATATCAAATTCCCTACGTAAATCACCTTCACACACAACAATAGCGTCACCAACTCTCCATCCTACCACGCAAACTCAAAATGTGTGAAAACTAACCCCGAATAACACTCCACAGAACACAACAACTTCACCAAAACACATACAACAAAACCAAAAACTTCCAGTATCACGAGTGAAGAATAGTAAGATATTTGGATGTCGGTTTGTTTGTAAGCTGTGCTTGATGAGACAGTGAGGACGACGGCATTTGGGATGAAGTGGGAAATGATTTGTATAGGTAAGTAGTGTCTAGTCTGTGAATGAGATCGAAGCATTCATATTTGTTTGTCGGTTGAGTTGTTTATGTTGCACAAGTGGTTGTGGTGGGCCAGAGAGTGAGGCATATAGGTAGGGATAATCGAAGCAACAGATAACGGTGATTGTCTAGCAGAAGTGTGATCAGACAACCACATGTGTGTGTGTGTGTGTGTGTGTGTGTGCGTATCACTGGCCAAGACTGTGACACTTGTGTCTGTGGATGTTTGTGTATGAGAATGAGGGAGGGAGAGCGAGAGTGTGCGACACATTGAGAAGCCGTGTTTGCGGTTGTTCACCTAGGGTCTGTGAGTCAATTTGGTGGATGTGCGACGTTTACTCTTTGATTATGTAGCTTGGATGTGCAGTTGTTGGAAATTTGCATGTGGTGTCATAGGAATTTGTGAAGGCTATTGGTTGTAATGGATAACAACAATTGTCTGAGGAAACATGCTTATGGTGACACATGTGTGTGCGGGGAAGGTTAAGCAGACTGTGGTGTGTGGTGCTGTGGAGGTTTTGGTGTGATAGTCAGGGAGGGAGAGCGAGAGAGTTCGACACAGAGAGAAGTCGAGTTTGTGGTTGTTCACCTAGAGAGAGTCTGTGAGTCAAATAGGTGAATGTGCGACATTGACTCTGTGATTATGGAGATTCGATGGGTGGTTCTGTTGATGCTGCAGGTTCTGGTTTAGCGATAAGTCAGTTATGGGGTGGAAGGCGAAATGCCAGACTGGATGACAGTTGTGATAGTCGGGTGTGTGTGTGTGTGTGTGTGTTTGTGCTGTTGCACGTTGGTGGAGTGAGGAGTGTGAAGAATAGTAAGATATTTGGATGTCGGTTTGTTTGTAAGCTGTGCTTGATGAGACAGTGAGGACGACGGCATTTGGGATGAAGTGGGAAATGATTTGTATAGGTAAGTAGTGTCTAGTCTGTGAATGAGATCGAAGCATTCATATTTGTTTGTCGGTTGAGTTGTTTATGTTGCACAAGTGGTTGTGGTGGGCCAGAGAGTGAGGCATATAGGTAGGGATAATCGAAGCAACAGATAACGGTGATTGTCTAGAAGAAGTGTGATCAGACAACCACATGTGTGTGTGTGTGTGTGTGCGTATCACTGGCCAAGACTGTGACACTTGTGTCTGTGGATGTTTGTGTATGAGAATGAGGGAGGGAGAGCGAGAGTGTGCGACACATTGAGAAGCCGTGTTTGTGGTTGTTCACCTAGGGTCTGTGAGTCAATTTGGTGGATGTGCGACGTTTACTCTTTGATTATGTAGCTTGGATGTGCAGTTGTTGGAAATTTGCATGTGGTGTCATAGGAATTTGTGAAGGCTATTGGTTGTAATGGATAACAACAATTGTCTGAGGAAACATGCTTATGGTGACACATGTGTGTGCGGGGAAGGTTAAGCAGACTGTGGTGTGTGGTGCTGTGGAGGTTTTGGTGTGATAGTCAGGGAGGGAGAGCGAGAGAGTTCGACACAGAGAGAAGTCGAGTTTGTGGTTGTTCACCTAGAGAGAGTCTGTGAGTCAAATAGGTGAATGTGCGACATTGACTCTGTGATTATGGAGATTCGATGGGTGGTTCTGTTGATGCTGCAGGTTCTGGTTTAGCGATAAGTCAGTTATGGGGTGGAAGGCGAAATGCCAGACTGGATGACAGTTGTGATGGTCGGGTGTGTGTGTGTGTGTGTGTGTGTGTGTTTGTGCTGTTGCACGTTGGTGGAGTGAGGAGTGTGAAGAATAGTAAGATATTTGGATGTCGGTTTGTTTGTAAGCTGTGCTTGATGAGACAGTGAGGACGACGGCATTTGGGATGAAGTGGGAAATGATTTGTATAGGTAAGTAGTGTCTAGTCTGTGAATGAGATCGAAGCATTCATATTTGTTTGTCGGTTGAGTTGTTTATGTTGCACAAGTGGTTGTGGTGGGCCAGAGAGTGAGGCATATAGGTAGGGATAATCGAAGCAACAGATAACGGTGATTGTCTAGAAGAAGTGTGATCAGACAACCACATGTGTGTGTGTGTGTGTGTGCGTATCACTGGCCAAGACTGTGACACTTGTGTCTGTGGATGTTTGTGTATGAGAATGAGGGAGGGAGAGCGAGAGTGTGCGACACATTGAGAAGCCGTGTTTGTGGTTGTTCACCTAGGGTCTGTGAGTCAATTTGGTGGATGTGCGACGTTTACTCTTTGATTATGTAGCTTGGATGTGCAGTTGTTGGAAATTTGCATGTGGTGTCATAGGAATTTGTGAAGGCTATGGTTGTAATGGATAACAACAATTGTCTGAGGAAACATGCTTATGGTGACACATGTGTGTGCGGGGAAGGTTAAGCAGACTGTGGTGTGTGGTGATGTGGAGGTTTTGGTGTGATAGTCAGGGAGGGAGAGCGAGAGAGTTCGACACAGAGAGAAGTCGAGTTTGTGGTTGTTCACCTAGAGAGAGTCTGTGAGTCAAATAGGTGAATGTGCGACATTGACTCTGTGATTATGGAGATTCGATGGGTGGTTCTGTTGATGCTGCAGGTTCTGGTTTAGCGATAAGTCAGTTATGGGGTGGAAGGCGAAATGCCAGACTGGATGACAGTTGTGATGGTCGGGTGTGTGTGTGTGTGTGGTGTGTGTTTGTGCTGTTGCACGTTGGTGAG